AAATTCAGAAGAAGGGACAGTGCCCGGTGGGTTGGCGCACTCGGTAAGTTCATTGTCTCACACGCGAAAGGTTCCGAGTTCAAATCCCGGCCGGGTAGAATGATGCGATCTGACCATTTAAAGTCTTAATCATCATCACAGTATACCCTAACCGGCTCGAAGCCGTGTAAAATAAGGATAAAAAAAAAGAAGAAGGAACTGAATCGTAAGGAGTTAACTCTCAGGCCTCGTGCTATTAATTCTTGTTGCTGGTTTATCATTCAGTGCAGTGAATTGCTGAGTGTTCGAGGTCGTTCCGTTATCGAAACATTTGACGTATTTATTGTGGAAGGAATCATTCATTAGGTGCAATATAACCTTTTTAGTCGTCCATATAATGTCATTAAATTAATGAGATCCTGTGACATTTGCAGATTGTACAGTTTTTGTCCATTCTTTTTCCATCAAACACAGAATAATTCCGTGGATTAATTCCATTTATTTTTTGCTGGATAATGAATCATTGCCATACGAGAGTAACGACCTTATTTTTCACGTCCTGTGAATTTCTTGAAATTTCAGTCACAGTGTCATCTGAATTTTTGATGTTGTGAGTTTGAATTCAATTTCAAATCAAAGCTTTCACAAAATTTATCATTGATGACGAAAATTCACGAAAATTGGATTTTTCATGTTAATCATTCGTTGATTTTTCAATGAAAGCTTGAATGTCCAAACTCATCCTAAAAATTGACCATCACATACCATTCAGTTTTCAATAGATTGGGAATTCAGAAAAGTGGTTGCCTGAATTTTCAAAATTTTCAATGTTTTTCAGTGTCGTGTGGACTTGAAAATCGAGAATTACTTGAATATTCAAGGAAATAACTGATTCGTCAACTTTGTCATGGTTAAAAATTTCAAGCTTTTTCACTTGAAATTTCAAGAGTAATTTTCTAACACCCACGGCTCAAGCTCGAATCAACAGTTTCGAAGGGGAAACCCTCGAGAAGACGTCTTTGCTAATGAAAATTGAAACTCCCAACATTCGTAAGGTGCACGGTCCCAATGCATTAAAAAAGAGAGAATAGGTGAAACAAGAAAACAGAAATTGACGCTATATAAAATGCAAACGAATTCTCAAATTGCATTTAGGTGAGACTGGGCGATGAAGGTCACAAGTGGATTTTCGTTTACTACCGCACCCAGCATGCTACCCATTCTCGCCTTCCTCTCTCGCGTACCTCTCTTCTCTACCCTTTTCCCTCCCACTTTTCGCTTTTACCTCGTCTCTCTTTTGAACCCACGTTTCCCCCACACACTGGCATTCGTTTTCTCCCTCGAGCCATAAACAAGCCCGCTCCCGACGCCCCGAGAACCGAGGTTATTGGTTTTTGTGAGATTCAGACGACATTCCCTGCGTCCGGAACACGCGAATACGCGCCACTATACTACTACGGAATCCTTTTTTTGCTCCTTCTTTATTATATTATACGTTTCGTTGGAATAATCAATGGAAATGGGTGCAAATTATTGTTTTCTGGAGACCTGTTATTAAGGGGGTTATGGATGATTCGTCGAAATACTAGGAAAATTCTGAGGAAAATTGCGGGTTCAGTGTCGTTTACCGATACAGAATATTTTTTCTCTTGAATAATACAGAGAAAAAAATTTAATTCTGCCGAGCAAATTTGTTTCAGACAAAAATTTATTGTGAAATTTTTGTATGGAAATTTCGGGCATTTGTTTGTCTGAAACAAATTTGATTGACAGAATTCAGTAGCGAAGCGGTAAAGGGCGATAAGTCGGTTTTTTTCCGAAAATTGGTTATTGATGGAAAACGATTCTATATATTGTATTACATATTCGCTATAAACGATTTGAGTAAAAAAAATTAACTATATTTTTATTCAAGTGATCAACAAAACAAGATGAGAAAAATTTCAGACAATTCGGAAAGTATCTTTGAGACTTGTAGATTTATAGCAAAAAATCAGACCTCTTTTCGGGGAAATTGAATTCTGAAAGTGAGTTATCGATGGGGAAATTCTTGAAAATTTGGATCAGACAGTTCCTTGACAAAAATTGTTATGAAATGTACTGAAAATTTCGGCCGATAATTTGAACACTGTGAGACAACGTATTAAAAATTGATAATACTGTCCGACAGAAGCACTATAATGGGTGGTGAAACTGTAGGGAAGCATGAGGGAAAGTGGAACACTCCCTTATTTTTTCTTTTTGAAGTTATTCATCAGCCCTGAATATAAAATATGTAAGCATTCTCCATGATCCCCTAAGATGTAATTCTATAAACTCCAAATATACAAAATCGTATTCAAGGATCTGCATGTTCCCTAACATTTCAGTCGGAGAAGTTGACTTCCCCCACCATCGACATCGTCCATGTGTTTGGGTAATTCTGTGTGTCCCTCTGCGTGACCGGACTGCGCAGTAAAATTACTCTCGGCGTGTGAGAGTGAAACAGGCAGATTCTTCCTCTCTGTTGACTCTCTCCTAGCTCCGCCTCCGAGGGAAGAGTAAGGGCTTCCCGAACATGTAATTCCTTGAATTCTGGCCCCAGAGGCTGAAATGTTAGAGAGTAACCACCGTATTCATAACCTTCCCTTTTGATTCCAACCTCATTTATCAGTCGGTCGCCATTCGCAACCCCTTTCCCGTTCCCAGAGGCTCATGTATTTACTGCTCCGAAAATTTTGCCATTCCCAACTCTTTACAACAAACGCCCTCAGTTTTCCAAAAAATTGTTGGTAGGAGTGGATACGAGAAAAAAAAATGAATGTTTCAGAGTTGAAATAAATTGTACGAACGCTCTCGCACCGGAGGTAAATTAAGAGGGTATGCTGCAAAAGCAGAGGTTTTTTTCGGAATAGTGTGTATCAGGGGATGAAGCGGTTCGTGAAATTGGGGGGGAAAAAAAAATGTTTCGAGAGCAGGTAGTTCCGCTCTGGCGTCAGCCTCGGATACGCATGGCAAATCTCGTCCCTCTACTTCTCGTGAAACCCGAGCGGATCGGCTGTATACTGAGTGAGAGTAGTGCGAAAAAGATAGCTCGATGTGCAGATAAATTCGCCCTGGGACTGGTGTGAATATACGAACTCAATAAAATTGTCAAACAAAGAAGAGTATTGAGTAGGTTTACACAATTAAAAATAGTGAAGCATGACAAGTAATTTGTACCACTCGTTAGCACCAGTCAATTTCAATCTCCATTAATTTAACTCCTTCATTTATGACATTTTCAATTGAATTTTGAATTTTCACTCTACCATTTTTAGTCCATGAATTCTTACGGCCGAAACATTTCCATCAAAATTTTGCAGTTGACGCACGCTCCCTCGGGCAATTTTCCACTGTTTTGTACTACCTCTGAACGATCGACGCACTGAGGGCATGTCAATTTTGTTTATACAGATGAAACCCGAATACCCTGTGGATAGTTAACAGGAAAAATAACACGCGTTTTTATTCTCATTCACATCGACAAAGTCGATTGTTCATTATATCTCCGGTAATAATCCCCGGATTATCATCCAATCTATGTATTATCTATGGATTCGTTTTAAAATTATGGATAACCGATGATTTTTATCCATCATCACCCTTTTATTCGGGAATTATGTAAAGCCCATTGGTGCTGAAAATGCTCGTTCATTGGATATCAAAATTAATCAGTTAATTAATCACTGATTTACAGGTGATTTTTTTCATTCTTTTCAGTATTGAAGAATTCACGAACGAATTGGATTTCTAGTCCAACGATACTGATATATGATGCAAGTTGTCAGAGATTGAATTTCCCCCCGAATGCACAGCTTCCTCTCCATCGCGAAATTGCATAACAATCACATGGAAAAGACATTAGCCGGCTCGTGTTGCCTATCGATTTTCATCGGTACACAATTCTCCTCGAATGTATCACGAAACTCGAGCCTGAAGCGAAATAAGAAAAGCATGGAAGAAAAACATGCAATTGTCATTTCTTGTATTTATTATTTATTTTTCTTCGCATAGTGAAAGAATCTTGGAAAAATTGTGTGCTGAGTCACGTAGTCGCGTGGCGTAATCCTTATTTCGGGGGTTTTAGGGAGATTCTGTGCTCTGGATTGTTTCATTCACCACGTTGTAGATTCTCATTCGTTTTCAAAACCACTATTTTCACGATGTTGGAAAAAATTTTAATTTCGTGGACAGGTGAGCGGTAATTTTCAAGGGAGTGACATTGACTCCGATTTGAAAAACCATGAAATTTCAGATTTCAGTGAAAACACTTCACTTGAATTTTCAATGGGAACGTGAATATCAGTCACTACCAAATAACGCTAAGTTTTCAATGAATTGATGATTGACGAATATATTTGCCTCGATTTTCCTGACAATTGGACTGAAATTTACAGTTTCCATTGAGTTTTCCATAAAATTTTTAATTGGTAATGGCTAACTCCTTTGAAATTTCAATGAAATTATATGCAAATTCACCCAGAGAGAAAATGTTAGATTCAACGACAAATTTCGAAATTCTGCCCCCTATAGTTTCTCACATGCATTCTTCTAGAATATTAAAAATTCTTCTCATATCGATCACTTCAGGGTTCTTGTTTAATGGGAGGATGAGAAACTACTAAGATTTTTTAAATCACAGGATATTTCATCTTTTTTTCAAAAATTGAAATTTTTCAGAAACTAGAAAAAAGGAGTCGATAAAAAATTCAAACTCTAATCCAGAACTCGAAATCGAGAATGATGGAGTGATCCTAGAAAATTTGTATTAAAATCAATAAGAAGGGCTCTCTTATATCTCTCAATTTTCTTCAAAACTTCATGAAATTTTTCCACTCTGTTAAATCTTGATTTATCCACTTTAGCAATTATGATTTAGCATTTGATGCTCCACTAAAAATGACTACACTCCCACCGCAAAAAAAATCTTTCCGTGTAATTTACACTAAAAAATGTTTTCCGTATATATTTTTCAGCGGGCAGCCTGCGAGGAAATAGAAATGGTTGAGCTGAGCGGAAGTGGCCAGCCTGGCATTATGCAGGTTGGACAGATAAATACAAGTGGAATGTCAAGCTTAACATCAGCACCAACATTGTCCTCGTCGTCATCGTCAACAGCCGCTTCCTCATCAACATCCGGACGCGCTGGCGTACTTGAGACTCAAGTGCGCGGTCAATGGTATCGTGTCTTCGTATCCCTTGAGGATGACTATCTCAGTATATCATTGGACGAGAGTTGTGAGAATATACTTACTGGAAATGGTGGACCCCTCAATGGTAACATCAACAACAACAACATTGACAGTCTCAACGATCCCGATGTGCCAGACTCAGTGGCCAATCAAAAGCGCATTGTCAGAGTCGTCAAGAGTGATAACAATGGGCTTGGTATATCGATAAAAGGTGGTAAGGAGAATAAAATGCCTATTCTCATATCCAAGATATTCAAGGGCATGGCAGCTGATGCCACTGAACAACTTTACGTTGGTGATGCAATTCTCGCTGTCAACGGTGAAGATCTTCGCGAAGCAACTCACGACGAGGCTGTTAAGGCACTTAAACGGGCAGGCAAGGTCGTCGAACTCGAAGGTGAGTCTCTTTCATTAACCAATCCAACGGGTTACATTCATTCGCGTCAGGTGTGTTTACTTTTTAGCAAAGAGAAATATCTCATGAAATCTTGAGACATTTTAATTTTGCGAAGCGTGCATTCGCGGTTAAAACGTACGTCCAGATGAAAAATATATCTTGAATCAAAGACACTTGACACATTTCAACCTAAATTATGGAAATCTTGTCGATTTCTTTTAATCACGTCAAACTTTTAAGTAGAAAGAACTATTCTGAATTTAAGAAGAAATTCTTCTCTGTGACAGGAGCATGAAACCCTTCAATATCTTGTACTCTACATGATATTGGATTTTTCTAAAAATCAATGTATTCGCGGAAAGACATTCAATTCAAAGTGCAATTATCTATCCTGAGAATTTTTCAAGCCAACGTCGAGTCAATCAGGAAAAATCAATATTTCATTTCCTAAAGCCTACCTATGAATGCCAGAACACCTCCGCTGTCTCGGGCTGGTTCATTGCACCTAGAAAATTATTTTCCTCAAACGGCACCTGGTTGGCCAGGCCCTCATTCCGCACAATCCTCACTACTTTCAAGAAAATGTTGGGAGGTAATCGATTCCCTCGCTAAGAGCTACTCCCTCGGAGGAATAAAGCACAACGAAGTCCGATGAGATGGAAAATGATATGAATAAATTAGGAAGAACACATGAAAACGGCCAAATAAATAGAGGTAGAAGGAAAGTGCTCGGAAAAAGAGGTAAAAAAAATGAGTTTGGCCCCGTTGCAGGGAGAAATCGCGTGTCGGAGATTCTCCAAAACTTTTCTCAAGACGCTGTGCCCATCCTCCCCCATTTTACTATCTTTACTTTTCCTTTGTATAGCTTACCCTTGGAACATTAACGAGACTCTTATTCCAATTAGCTTTAAGTACACGCTGCATTAAGCGCAACGGATTCTCTCGCGTCTCGTTTTAATATCGAATTCCGTGCCTTTGCCATTTGCTGAAGGAAAAGGGAGCAATCTTCTATCCCTTTTCCATAATTTGGTTTTCCGAGTTCCAGCAAGTTTCTTCCACGCTAGCAGCCCCCACGCTTTACTTGCCGTGTACCTCCAAATATCCAACCTCCCCCCCCCCAACCCTGTCACAGGGTTCCCTCACGAGTCGACATGCTTTTAGCAGAATTAATACGTTGCGCGACTTGACACTTTGCTTGATTGTCACTTTTACACTTTGGGAATTTTTTTGTTCCACTCCCTTGAATGAGTGAAATTGGTGAAAGAGACGTAGGGGAGTCGAAAATAAAAGCAGAGTCACTGAAAATGGAAGTTGAGAGTGAGCTCTTTTCTTTCTTTTGCTAATGCTGAAAAAGTGTCAAGGAGAGAGAGGAGGGAAAACGTGGCCTTGACAAGACGCCCATTGACCGGTTGGCTGATATAGTCTTACCTCTTGAGAGTGGCAAAGGTACGTGCTCGAATACTTGTTAGAATCCTCCTCCCCCCCCCGCCCCTCCTTTTCCACCCTCCCCGGAGTACCCCAGCAGTGGAAAAGAACAAAAACAACGTACGCGAGGAATAACAAAAATGGAAGTCTTCCATACCTTCCAACCTTTTCATATATAGATATCCCACTCGTCGTTATTCTCCTCATTTTTTTTGTTGTCCTGTTTTTATTTTCCCCCGACTCTTCTCAGCTGTATTGTTCTTTTTCTCTTTTTTCCTCCCTCCACCCCCTGTCTAGCACCCGTTCATTTTTTTTAATGCTTGATGCATATACCCAGTTCTCTCCATTCTCTCGTGTTCTCTGTCATTCCATCCTCATTGCCTTTGGTCTACACTCACATGAACCTAGTATAAGTGAATTGCTTTTGTCACCTTCACTTCTATTTGTTTCATTTCCCCTCTCACCTCGATTCAGCTGTCTGGTTGGATATAGAGGGTAGAGAGAGTACGCAAAAGGGTCATGAATTTTTCTTTTGTCACAAGAATGCTTTGTTCGACGCTCTCCTTTGATTCGCCCATTCGATTAAGTGAGAAATATTTTTCAGCCAGCTCGTTATTATTATCTCTAGGAGGTTCAGTGTATGTGCAAGCCAACATCTCACACTATAACAAGTGCAAATGTTTTTTCCCTTCCCTCCTGGGAAATATTTCCATGGTAATACACATGAGTGCGTGCAAGTGTGCGAGAGATGCCTTGAGCTGTGTTGTCTGAAAGCCTGAATCATCGTTCAACGACGAGTGATGGGAAGAAGGTGAACTGATGAGAGAAGTCGATTACCCGTTGACCCCTGATTACTCGAGCTAAATGAACGGGGCAGAGTATAATGTCTGACGTCAGAGTGATGAAGGGAGTGAGTAATGGGAAATAACAACAAAAGAGAATCCAATGAGAGTATTAGGTTCTTATTAGCTTCAGGGGGGAAAAACTTTTACGGCTAATGAGAATAAGTTTTTGTTTGTCATTGGGCTTAAGTATTCAACATCTGGAGATCCTTTGAGTTTCATTGATTGAGCTCATATTTTCTACTTTGAGACGCATTTCTCAGTCATCTCTATCAGTGGTAAAGTGGACTCACTATCTCCACCGCTGCATCTCATTTGTTCCCGGTTGCTTTCGCACAGCGAAAGCAGACCGCTGCAGAGAGCTGCTCGCTCTCTGCGTACCATCCAATAAAGCTATGAGTTATGAAAGCCAAGGCCCAAAGTTTTGCTCCCGTGATTCAAAGTGGATGAAGGAGAAGGAGGTACACCGAGGCAGTGACTTTGTTGAAGCGTGGAGACACCTACCAACAAGTACAGAAGACCCCGTGAGCTCGTGGATCTTTTCCTGTTATCTTTTTATATCTTGGATATTCCACGGTAGAAAGGCTTTCCTCTTTCCAACAGTTTTATCTCCTTGCTGGGAGAGCTTGCGAGCGATTCAACCCCCCCAACTTTTTCCTTCATAGCAATCTTCCTCGATATGGACTTCTTCAGAGTCCGTTGGTACAGCGTCTTTCGTTGTTTGTCTTTCGTTTATGTTTTTTTTCCTTCGGTATCTCATTTCAACTCGGAGCAAGTCACTTCTTCCTTTTTCGCAAATGGAGCAGCCCTTCATCATCTCGCTTGATAAATTTGTGAATCTTTTTTCTTCTTGCACAGCGATATTTATGGTTGAAAAAATTTAGAACAGATGTTATTGATTTGACTCCCGTGACCGAGTGAGGGAGACCTGTATTGATTCTTTTTCCTCTCACCCGCGGAGTAATTCCCGGATATTTAAATTCTCAATGCTCTCAGTGTAGGGGGGGAGGGGGTATTTGCTGCAAGTGAACAAAAATGCGTAGAAACCGAGCGGAGGAATATCCGATTTCCGGGAATTAAAGTGTGGATCTGGGGTTTGGGCAAATCTTGTTTATTTCTGCTGCTTCTGAATTCGGGGCACTCGTCCATTTTTTTTGCATGTTTTTCCCGCAGGTCTGGGAATGAGAGGGGATCCAATGGTATTATAATACATTATGCTGGAGATATAGTGAATATTTTTCTTCGTATACTCTCGTGACATAAGAAATGACTCAGATCTCCAACTTGAATTTAATCCGACTGGCTTTTCTGAGGAGGGTCTTCTCGTTTTTCTATAACTTTTGCTACTGTAAAATGCAACGGAAGTCGGGGTATGCATATGCGGTTCTTCTTGCCCGCGAAAACGATCCTCCAACGACTTTGCGTGTCTCCTTTTCAGTGTGTCTTATCTATCCTGGCGATCTTTCAGCCGGGATCCGGAGAATCCTTGTGAAATATTGTGGCTCGCTGATTATGAATCACCCATTCAGGGTGTACATACGAGTATTGGCTTTTACTTTGTCTTCTGGTTATGCTAGTTTTGTCATTTTAGTTGTGCATCTACATGGTGAGAAGGGGTAATATCCGGAACTTTCAAAACTAGCGGATATTTTATGAAAAATTGTTTGCAAACAAACAAGTTTTGTAGATTTTAAATCCCGCGTGCGTAGCACGGGATTGGTGATTTTTCCGTCGCTTGCTCACAATAAATTTACTACACGTTACGGTATCTTGTCCTGAAATTATCCAATGTCTAGGAATTTTTCTATAAAGGAGAAGGATAATTTTTTACCAAACACTGCACAGCTATAAATAGTAGTTTGTGGACCGCAAATATCAATTGTGAAGGTTTTTTGATTGTCACTTTACAAAAATAACTGGATTTTTCTTTTTTCTTTTTCAATAATGTGTTCAGAATTCATGAAGTATTTATTCCGCACGGAGAAAAAAACTTGAGGGAAAATTACGCGACAAAACGTAGAAGTGATGGGAAATCCTGTTGCAAGAATGGTTACGTAAAAACTCGGGAAAAATCTGGAGAGAAAAATAAATTTTTCCTCCGTGCAATTGAATCAATGTGGATAACTGATTATTCGTTTTTATGAGGATTGAATGTAATAATTTTTGTGACCTTCAAAGTCAACATACGGGTATTCTTGTTGCTGCAGTTTTATTATACACAATCCACAAGTATTGAATATGGAGAGTAAACAAAATTAGATATGATGAATTTTGCGTGCGCTTGCGGTCAATAACGAAAGAGATCAATTAACTTCGAATTCATATCAATATTTCGAGTTTGTCGAAGCGCTCATCAGGATAAAACCGGCTCTTTATTCTTAAACTGCAACAAGTCAAAACGATAACGCAAATTATTCTTTCATCCGAAACAATTGAAATAATAATATAAAGTTTATATAAATATCATTATATTTATTTATTAATATTATTAATATTATTATATTATACACATATGATCACATGATCACTAATCAAACTGGTGATGGCAACCAGAGAAAAACAGAATATATTTTTATATATGAAGTCACTGGTGATAAAAAAATAGATTAGAATACCAAGTATCAGTGGTCAATTAAGACAAATGTATTTTCGTTCCGATAAGAACATTCCTGTCTGTATTTCCACTTGACTGTCATTTATTTCATTAAAATTTATATTTCCGCAATCTTTAAT